CAACATCAATAGCCAGCCTCAAGCAATATTTCCAGAATGAAGCTGCTTTGCTAAAAAAATATTGACATTTTAGTTGACAGATGTATTGATGGAAAGAAATGATTGAATGTAAAAATTAATTATTTTTAAACAGTCCAACGATAGAATGTCAAACGGTAATATTTTCAGACATTGTAGCATGGTTGATATTTCCATTCGTGACGTAAAGTGACTTGAGTCTCTGTTTGATTTTGATAAAATTTAATTTTTTTTAAACGGGAGTTGAGAATCAATTAATAAGTTGTCCTATATGTTTTCCATTTCCATCAACTCGACTTTGATTTCGTACCTAATCAAAGACATGACTATAGGAGAACTTATGAATTGATTCTCAACTCACGTTTATCTCAATTAAATTTCTTTTTCAATTGCGATTGTCTTTCTCTCTTATTCATTAGCGAATATAACTTTTTTTAAGTAAAAGAGTGATACCATGTTTTTTAGAGGGTAATTAATAAATATCGTTCTTACATGTCATTATTATTGTGGAAAATATTCTCACCTTTCATTTTTTTGACATTTTCTTCCTTATTTCCACGCTCCGTTGTGCAAAAGGTCTTTTTCATCAGTTTTCTTAATTAAAAATTGTGAAATGACAAATATATCTTTCTATTTAAATAAACAAAAAGAAAAAAAAATAATTGCAACCATAGTCCTCAAATGTTTTTAAAAAGTGCAAACGAATCCCAAAAAAATTATTAAAGGGTAATTAACATATATTGTCTCTATCTTTCACTATTATTGTGAAAAACATTCATATCTTTTTTTTTCTTCATATTTCCACCTTTAATTATACATTTAATTGAGCAAATGATCATTTATATCCATTTTCATCCAATTTCTCAAAAAAATTGTGAAATGACAAATATACCCTCCGATTTAAATAAAAATGAATATTAAGAATATTAATTTTTTTAATTTCTAATTTTTAATAATAATTTATTTGAGACTTGTTTGCACTTTTAAAAAAAATTTATTTTTTTAATAATTTATTTGAGACTCATTTGTATTTTTTTAAAAATTAAGGACTATGGTTGCAATTAATTTTTTGTTTTTTATATTTAAATAGAAGGTTATATTTATTATTTCACAGATTTTTATTGAGAAAATGGATAGAAAATATTGTTTGAACAATTAAATGTGTAATTAAGAGTGAAAATGTTAAAAAAAATGAAAGGTGTGAATGTTTTTCACAATAATAGTAAAATGTATGGATATTATGTGTTAATTACCCTTTTACTAATTTATTTGAGACTCATTTGCATTTTTTTAAAAAAAAATTGGGACTATGATTGCAAATTTTTTTTTTATTATTTAAATAGAATAGTATATTAGTCGATTGACAACTTTCAAATTGAGAAAATTGATGAAAATGACATTTTGCGCAATAAAATTTGAAAATAAGGGTGAAAATGTCAAAAAATAAAAAACGAAATGTAAGGACGTTTTCACAATAATAATAAAAAGTAAGGACGTTATGCTAATTACCCTTTCTTAAAAGTATGGAAGAAGTTAATACTAAACTAAATATTTACAAGGTAATT